ACAAATTTAGAATACAGAACAGAACTAAATTTTTTGGAATTTTTTTACCTTACGATGATCATTTTGATATCAGAAATACAGATGTAAGCAAACACGATGACATAACTTATCTAAGAAACTAGCAGCAACAGCAAAATAGTACCGTTGATGGCGGCTCAAAATTGAAGCTGGTAAATATAGAATTTATTTTTTGCAAAATTTGACTTACAAATCAAAATGCAGATAAATGCACTCTACTTACTGCTTTCAAAGTTAGATGTAGCATAAGCGAAATGCTTATCTTTTAAGATGGTAAAGGTTGACAGTCTATCTTTACAGAAAAGAGACGAGAAAAAAGGTTGATTCAACTCTTTGTTGACAAATTGTTGCTTGTTGAACCTGACAAAGGAAACTTTTTTGACAAAAAAACATTCAATACAAAAATAGTACATAAAAATCTGCGTAAATAAAAGAGCTACACGTTCAGTACTAATGCACAACTGGGATTATTCAAAGCTACAAACTTTTTATTTGAAGACTAAATAGACTTACAATTAAAATTATAAAAGAAAAAAGGTAAAGCAAAAATTTTAACAGCAAAATAGTGTAACTTAAAAGAATAGATTAGCAAATTATCAAAATTATAAACCATTTTTTTTCTACAATGTTTAGCTGTATATCTTTGTTTTGCTGATATTACTGTAGAAAAAAGATGAAAAAATTTTTTTTTTGTTTAAGATAATAAAGCTGCAAAATAAAGCTCTTTCATTCCCAAGCATTTCTGTTAAACGGCACATTTCAAGTGATATACGGGTTTCTGTAAGATTTTTAGTCGTATGTTTTACGTTAAACCAGAAGACAGTTGAACAGTTGCTTGCTAAATGAAATTTGATTAAGAAGTGGAAGCAGAAAGCTTGCAGGCGCTAAACTTTTGAATAGCAATTTGAATTTCAGAAGCTTTTGTCAAATTCACTTGTAAACTGAACAGTAATTTTAACAAGCTTTTGCCTAATGAGAGTCAGACTGGTCATTTTTGCAGCAGTCAATTAGTATAGTGCTGATAAGTAGATAGAAATTTAAGTTTAAAATAAATAACAAAAACCAAAAACTTATTTTATTTAATACACATTAAATGTTCAAATGTCATTAGCGGCAATACTATAAAAGATATACATAAAAATTGAAAAAAAGGTTTTTTTTAGAAAATAAATTGACAGGTTTTTTTTAGAGTTTGATAATTGTAGTTCAAGCGATGCAGGTATATTGAAATGATCAATTGTAAGCTTTAAATAAAAACAAAAATGCATTTCTTCAATGTTTTTTCTGGTTACAGAACGTGTAAAATTTATAGTGCTAGGTCTTACCACCAAAATAAAGGTTATCAGAACACAAAGTACTTGAAAGGAGATAAAATGAAAAAAGACATACTGTTTTAAGCTGCAGAATTTTACTTTATTATTCACTGCTACCGCTGGGAACGTAAATTACATCATTTCTATTGCTATTTTATTTCTTCTTTATTCTTGCCAATTTTAAACAGCAAGAACTTTTTATAGCTTATCAAGTAAATGTTCCGGATAACCTAAGCTGAGCCTGATTTTTTTCTGAGCAGTAATCTTAATTATTTTATGAAAAGAACAGAGAAACATTCTGCCGAAAACTTAAAAATCAAAACTCTTCTGCTTTTTCTGTCCAAACCCACCTCACAGCCCTACTTCCTAATTTCATAGTTTCGACAGAATAGTAAAACCCTTCCCAATGAGTTCATTTTATGCAAGATTTTACATATTTTTAAGCAAATTTCTCAAATTTTTTTAGGGCTTTGACAATTAGTGTAGTGTTGTTCTTGATTTAGAAATCAAAAAGAAACCAAAGATTTTTTTGCACTGCATTAAATTTTATACAGGCAAAAATTTTTTAGGTTCTTGAGCAATTAGAACTTTTATTGAAGCTTAAAGTTTCGTCACCTCTAACAAATATAAGTCTAGACTCGTTCAACATCGCAGTTTCTCTATCTTTTCAAGTTCGTTGACCTACTGTAATGAAACGCTAAAATGGCTCAGTTCTATACCGATAAAAATTTGGCAGACCTTTCGATTAATTGACGTTAAGAAATAACCTGCTAGGTTCGAAATTTTCCGTTCTGCCAATTTGCAACAATTTCATCACAAGACTGATATTATCGGTTTAAGAGTTACGTCTGATTCAGTGACTTTATTTAAAGAAAAAAGACGTTATTTTGCTGTTTTAGTGAGCAACTTCGTCTTCTTGAGCAGAATGCCCACGTTGAAGCACAATTTCAGTATATTAATGAGTATATAATTGTAAATTAACAAACACGTATCCAAACTTATTTATTTTTTTTTTTGAAGACTTATTGATTTGTAATGACTAATTTGATTTTTATTTTATTTTTAATTATTTATTTAATAACTTATTTATTTGTAGCTTGAGATGAGCTACTAAACTATTGTTGCCGTATGAAAAAGTAAATTGAATCTTTATATAACAACTCCTGAAAAAGCTACTTTTGTTCCGGGAAAAAAGTTTGATTTTGAGCATTAGAAGTTTTAAGGTATTCAATCTGATTTTAGGTTTTACTTTACAGCTTAAATTTGTTGGAAGAAGTTTTTGTAAATAAACGTATGAAATCAAATCACTATTATTTCCTTAAAGTCCTTTACTTATATGCTTTATAGTTTAGATCAGTACTTACTACAAAATTCTTGTTTATTCTCAGAACCCTTAAGTAAGCCACGTATTGTTTACGTGTTATTTTGTTGATACGACGATAGATGTTGAATTTGAAATGGTTACTTTTTGCTCTTTTTGTCTTTAAATTTCCTCTAGGAACAATAATCAAATGTGTTTTGTCGGTTATTCTGCACTGACCGTCAGTCTTGTTTGAAGCAGGGCCAAAAACCAAGTTATAGCCGCTTTCATATAGCAGTTCATAAGACTTTGTCAACAATTATTGGTCATCAGAATTACCTAGTTAGTAAAAAAGTATCTTCTCTTTTGTCCTAATAAATTTTTGAAAAGATTCCAGGGTAAGAATTTATTTTATGCATAAGCATGCGTTGTACTATTTATCGCTGTATTTCAAATGTTTTTTACTTTTTTCTGAACCATTCAGACCAAAGCTTTGATACTCAAAGATTCATAATCCTTTCTTTTCCGGCTAGGTGCTACAAATTTCTTCCATGTCATTCAAATAATTCCAGAATAAAAGTCCAACTTTACTTTTCAAGATAAAGATAGAAACTTCTTAAAAATGAAGGTTTGAAATTTAAAATTTCTCATAATTCATAATAGAATTTTCGCAAAAAGAACAGTAATAAAAAACTATACTTTACTGTGTTAAGAAAATTTACTTTTACAAAAAGTTTTCTGCAGTGCTAGCGATCTGAGATGCTAAAATTAATCCATAGCTCAAGGTTTCAAAATAAATGCAAGAGATAAATGAAGACACCCATCAGCAAAACTCAGCGTCACAGTGCTGAAATGAAAAGGAGTGTTGTCAGTTGGATGCTGTTAATATGTTTGAACATCACAATAAATTTTCTTTTCTCAATTAGATGCCTAATTAGTTTTTAGCCAACTGTATCTTTCTGTTCTCTGGTTGAAACTTTATTAAAACAATTTTTTTGGGTTCTAATGTCTCACAAATCTGCCTCAAGACGGAGTAACACAATAATAAAAAAAGATTAAAGCTTAATTTCAAGACTTTTCCCTTTTTCAATAATCGGATAAGTCGTGCAAAAGCTCAACAAATAATCAAAGAAAAAACCCCTCAGCCACTTCTCAGTACAAGCCAACATACCAGTATTTTTTTCCAGCAGTGAAAACAGAAACGTAGTTTTCTCTAAAATCTCAACCCTTTACCTTCAATTTTAAAATTCTGTATTTTACTTACCAAAAATGTTTGTACTTTCTACAACTTCTTTTAACTTTGACCTGACTTTCGTATTCTGAATATCTCATTGAACTACCTGGCTGTTGAACTAATGTTTGAAAAGAAGACTCACACTAAGATACCTCAAAGTCTGCATGAAAAATGCGCTGAAAATTTGCCTAAACACTTAATTTACAATTCTTGATGATTAACAACTCCGCTCCTTTCAGCAGCAAAAAGGCAAAATTAACAGTTTCCCTAAAAGATTGAGGGGAGGAGAAAAAAACTTAAAATGATCCTTAAAAAGCACGTCACCACAGAAAAAAAACGACTTCAAAACCTCAAGCAGTGAAAGAATAATGAAAAAGTGCGAAAAAAAAACAGTTAATTCTCCCCTTGACTACCTAATGCACCAATTTTTGATCATTAGACTCACATAAGAAGACCATTAACAGGAATAAACGCTTAAAGGCTTACAGCCAAATTTAATATAATAAGTAAAAAATTAAGTGTACAAAACAAATACCAAGTTAAAAATAGGAATCAATTAAACGACAAAAGCATAAAAGCAAATTCAGTGAAATAGGAATCAATTAAACGCCAAAAGCATAAAAGCAAATTCAGTGAATAATACTGGTAGCGATACCAAAAGTTGCAGATGTTGAGTGAAGAAAAAAAAGAATGCTGATATTTCTAGATATCTAAAAACAAGACAATAAATTAAAATTTTTGAACTTTTGCAACATTGTTTACTCAGCGTTATGATGCGTGTCACTAACTGCGTCCGTTACCTTACTGCTTGCATATTTTGTTATTCAAACTTGCCTACAGAGAGAAGAAAAAGTGCAACACAGAGCTGAGATTTCACAAAAACATTAGCAAGGGCAACGTTGTAAGTTTTCAGTACAGTGGTGATCAGCCCAATCCAATCAAACCTCATGTTATTCTTTTGATTTTTTCTACTGTTGATCATAATTTATAAGATGTTGAAAAACAAATTACTTTTCTTGCAGAAAGAATCAGTATTCAGATAGTTTTATACAGGAATTTCTGCGGTGTAGAACTGTGCATATATCATCACATTACTTTTTAATAATAAATTCTACTCAAAAAAGGTTTACTACGGTTACGACGCAGTCATATCTCTAATAATGCGAAAAACCACAGTTGATGCTTGTCGCCAACGAATCCCAGAGTCGTGCCGAAGCTAAAATAAAAGCCGTTACCTTTTGCTTTGGCAACTCTTCAACACAACATGGCAGCATGCCATTTTTATATCAGCTCCGTCCTTTACACTCCCATACAAAAATAAACGAAAACTTTTACTGAGAAATTCTAATGTGCACAACAAGGGTAGCAATATGCGAAATACTCTTCTTCCAACCATCCCATGCCAAATTAGATCTATTTATTAAACCATAATTTACTTAATAACCTACAATTGAACAAATTTTTGGTACACACTAACCTTTTTCTTCCCGACGTCACTGTCTTCCTCTACTTCCTCTACGAGAGAACTGCCCCTGGTTTTCACTGAATGAGAACCGTCCTTGATTTTCACTCCCGGGAAACGGTTTCTGGTTTCCGTTACCTACAAGTTGCCGTTGATTTCCGTTGTCGGAGAATTACCGTGGTATCTATTACCTGGGAACTGTTCTTGATTTCCATTGCCAGTGAACGGTCTCTGGTTTCCATAAGCTGGAAATTGTCCTTGATTTCCATTGCCAGGGAACGGTCTCTGGTTTC